CAAAATTACCCCTTTTTGGAAAGTAGACACCCCAATTTGATAAAAAGCACGGTAAGTATTTTGCAGATCTCATTTGTTGCCACAAGTTTTTGGCAAATGAAGAAAAAAAAAACAAAAACATATTTTTTCTATTTTTTTTATATTTCAAAACCTTGTGAGAAAAAATGAGATCTGCAAAATACTCACCATGCCTCTTTTTAAATTCCTTGGGGAGTCTACTTTCCAGAAAGGGGTCATTTGGGGGGGGGGGGGTTTGGGGCTATCCTGGCATGTCAGGGCCTTCGAAACTGTGATACGTGAGAGGAAGTGTAATAAGGAAGTTATGCACTTTCAGGCTTTCAAAGTGGTCATTGGATTTCAGGCTCCTGTATGTGGCTAGGCTCCCAAAAAGTCTCACACATGTGGTATCCTCATACTCAGTAGAAGTAGCAGAATGTATTTTGGGGTGTAATTCCACATATACCCATGGCTTGTGCGAGAAATAAAAATCATTTAAATAACAATGTTGTGTAAAAAAAACAAAAAACGTTTTTGTCATTTTCCAGAAACTTGTGGAAAAAAAATAAGTCTTCCATGGACTCAATATGCCTCTCAGCAGATAGCTTAGGGTGTCTAATTTCCGAAAAGGGGTCATTTGAGGGTGTTTGTACTATTCTGGTATTTTAGCACCTCAAGAAATGTGATGGGCAGTCAGAAAGAAAAAGCTATGTAAATTCCATTATCTATACCATAGTTTGTAGACGCTATAACTTTCACAAAAAGCAATCAATATACACTTATTGGGATTTTTTTAACCAAAAACATGTAGCAGAATACATTTTGGCCTAAATTTATGACGAAATTTTAGTTTTTTTAGATATTTTTTATGACCAAAATGAGAAAATATTGTTTTTTTCAAAAAAAAATGTTTTTCTTCAAAACTTTTTCTGGTTATAGAGCCAAAAATAAAAAGTGCACAGGTGATCAAATACCACCAAAAGAATGCTCTATTTGTGTTAAAAAAAAGGACATAAATTTCATTTATGTACCGTATTGCATGACCTCGCAATTGTCCGTTAAACTAGCGCAGCGCTGTATAGCAAAAAAATGTCATAAATTGCAGTATCTATACCGTAGTTTGTAGACGCTATAACTTTCACACAAAGCAATCAATATACACTTATTGGGATTTTTTTTTACCAAAAACATGTAGCAGAATACATTTTGGCCTAAATTTATAACTAACTTTGAGTTTACTATATATTTTTTTATAGCTGAAAGTAAAAAATATTGTTTTTCTTCAAATATTTGGTATTTTTTTGTTTATAGCGTGAAAAATAAAAAGCGCACAGGTGATTAAATACCACTGAAAGAAAGCTCTATTTGTGTGAAAAAAAGGACGTAAATTTCGTTTAGGTGCAGCATTGCATGACCGCACAATTATCAGTTGAATTAGTGCAGCGCCGAGTAGCAAAAAGAGGCCTGGTCATTAAGGGGGGTAAATCCTCAGGAGCTCAAGTGGTTAAAGAAAGTTATTTTCCTATACTTGCAGGAAATGTGCTTATATGCTGTGGCTGCATTAATTTTCTTTTTTCAGGTTAAATACTGGGAAGCTGCAATATATTCAGATTTTGTTTGATGTTTAGATATGCCTTATCGTAAACAATCAAAGAAGGCTAATGCCCGTACACACGATGAGAATATCGGACGATCAGCCGTTTTTTTCGTCTGACTTCGAAAGTGAAGAGGTTACTAAAGATACAAAAATTCTCCTATGAAAGAAAAGAATTTCGAAAGTGATGTCATGTATTGCGCTGTATTTGTATTGTATTTTCAGACAACTACTATACTGATTAAACGAAAATCATACGATCTGGTATTGTATGAGAAAAATGTTTGCGCCTGTCCCTTCGGATATTGTCGTACGAATTGTCGTGATCGGCTCTCAAAAGCTGTGTACTAACGATTGGTCCTCGTACGAACATTTTCGTACGATTTTCTTATAGTGTGTACGAGGCATTATATTGCTCTTCCTTCCAATCCTTTTGTCTGAGAGTAGTTGGATTGCACATGCATATTAGATCAGCCTCTGAGGTGTATAGGCAGTTTAAAGATGAATTCCAGGTATGGATGAAAGTGGAGATCACTGGAGTAGCAGTGTCTGCTTCAGTGATTTCCAGCTTCCAGGGGCATTTGTAAGGTATGTAATATACATAGTTACATAGTCTAAGCTGGAACAATTTAACAATGTATAAAATATCCAAGTGTGGAATTCTAATTTAGCCACAATTCTGCTCTAGTCAGGAATGGCTACCTGCCTGATATGTACATTGGCCAAGCATATACAGTGCTTAGCATAAATAAGTACACCCCAACAGACTTGTCAGAAAACCTTTACTTTCCTTTCAGAATCAACATTTTCTATGGGACACTATACTTCAACATACTTCCACAAATGCAGGCCATTGATTGCAAACAAGATTTGTTAATTTGCACACACAAAAAGGATTTTTCCTAACAAATTCATTCAAGACCATGTTGCAAAAATGAATACACCCCAATGACAGTCTTAGGAGCTGTCAGGGCTCCTGGTAAGACCAGAGATGCATGAACTGACACAGGGAAACGCAGGCTCAAGTATGGTGTAACAATATAATTTATTAAGGGTTATACACAAATATAATGCACAATATAACAAAACCAAACCTCCAACTGATAACGGAATGTACACAGATAAGAGCAGTCAGGGCTGGCGAGGTGGAGTGGTCAGGCGGGCCGGGTCAGGAATCATCGGGCAGAAAAGACACAAAGAAGTAGGCAGAGCGTAGTCAGACTGGCCGGGTCAGGAACAATCAGGCAGACAAGGTACCAAAGGAGCAGGCTGGAGAGTGGTCAGGAATAGCCGAGGTCAGGACAGGCGGAGTTCATTCAGGGTCAGGATCAAGCAGAATCAGGAATCAGGTACAGGGGCTCATGGGAAACATACACCAAGGCACTGACTGCAGGTCTGGCCATTCCTTAAATACACTTCCTGCAATCAGCCGCAGGTGATGGCTGACTGCAGGAGTGAGCTTCTGGTTGCTGAGAGCACCCGCTGGCCAGCCCTGGTACTGCAGCCCACAAGGCAGGTGAGTCCCACCACCATTGGCAAGTCCATTCCTGACAGGAGCAAAGCTAAATTTTAGACAATAAACAAGAATTCAATTACAGGTGAGTCTAATTATTCATTAAACAGGTGTCCAGCAGAGAGTTGATTATAAAAGGGCATTACTTAACAAAGAAAACCCCTCCCATTTCATGTTGTCAGCAATGGCACCACATGGAAGAGAAATGTCACAAGGCCTGAGAAAGAAAATAATTTCTTTACACAAAAAAGGTGAAGGCTACAAGAAGACCAGCAAAGCTTTACTTATCAGTCAGAATACTATAGCAAAAATTATACAAAAATCTAACAAAGATGGAACTACAACCATCTCACAGAGACGTCCAGGCCGTCCACGGAAGTTAACAGCTTGACAGGAGTGTATTCTGATGAGAAGGGTTGAAAAAAAAATCGCCGTGCAAGTTCACTGCAATTAGCTAAATAAGTAAATAGCCAAACTGGGGTGATTGTTTCCCCTGATACAATACGGCATATACTGCAGAAGAATGGCATGCATGGATGTCGTCCACGAAGGAAGTGTCTCTTAAAGCACATGCACAAAAAAATCCGCCTAGAATTTGCCAGGGCCCATGGTGAAAAAGAAGACGACTACTGGGATTCTATACTCTGGATTGATGTGACCAAGATAAATGTTTTTGGAACTGATTATTTCAAAACTGTATGGCGTCACACAGATGAGTACAAAGAAAAAATGCATGGTGCCTACAGTGAAACATGGTGGTAGCATTGTCCTTCTGTGGGACTGCATGAGTGCTGCTGGTGTCAGGAAGCAGCATTTCATGATAGTATCATGAATTCACAGATGTATTGCCCTATATTAAAAGAGAAGATACTACCATCACTCCGTACCCTTGGTTGTCATGCACTTTTCCAACATGATAATGATCCAAAACACACATCTAAGGCCACTGTTGCATTTCTAAAGAAGAACAGGGTGAAAGTGATTCAGTGGCCAAGTATGTCTCCTGATCTGAACCCAATAGAACATCTATGGGGAATTCTGAGGAGACAAGTTGAGCATCACTCTCCATCCAGCATTCAGGCTCTAAAAGAGGTCATTCTTGAAGAATGGAAAAAAGATTGATGTTTCAATATGTCACCAACTTGTTCATTCCATGCCTAGAAGACTTGGAGTGCTGTCCTTACAAGTCATGGAGGTCTTACAAAAATACAAGATGGAATAGTTTTTGCTATGGGGTGTATTCATTTTTGCATCAACTAATTTGAGTAAAACTGAAGATTTTGTAATCTAAGTTATATTATTAAACTTACTTTCATGTAATGAGCTAAACAAATGTTCTATAGAACTAAGTTTTGTCAAAATGTTGGAAATTGTTCTTGTGTTCATTGAGCTATTGATTAAAATCTTACTTTTCAAAAGGGGTGTACTCATTTATGCTAAGCACTGAACTTACGCTCAAAAGGGACTCAGGTCTTGTTAGCAGTTACAAATACTGTATCTGGTTTAATAAAAAGTATTACACATACATAAATAATGTAAGTATGTGCATAAGGTAAACAATATAGACTCCACTGTAAAATAAAAGGGTATACGCCGTCATTGTTCAGTTCTAAAAACACATGTCAAATCTGCTTTTTTTTTTTTTTTTTTTCAAGAATGCACAGAATTGCTAATGCTCCTTTCCTTATGGCACAAGGATACACAATTTTCTCTTATTAAATACTGTATGTCAGAAGCCAAACCGCCATTTGCCAAGTATGGGCAATTATCATTGCTCATATGGTTGACATGAGGATAGATGATACGTTCTAAAGTATAGTTTGCATAGTTTCATTTGACATGAAAAATAAACCAGAATATGAAAGCACAGATTTAGCCAATTAAAAAACTCCTTACCTGGCTTTAGTGTTTGAGTATAACCTAATCCAATCAGACTTGAATTATTAACTTTAGCCTGCAAAAATAAAGTTATGCTCATGAAAAATACCATAACACAGTAAACTGAAAGATCAACAGGCATACAGAGACAGAAAATACAACAAAAAAATTGTGAATAATGGATACCAATATCAGTACACAAAAGCCCAGTTGTCCAAAGCCTTCTGTTCCCACAGGATTTATCAAAAAGGCTATCAATGCAATCCATATATTACAACTGGCAACATTAGAAGAGCTTAATTGGCAGAACTGCTAAACTGAACATATTCAGTTCACAGCCTATCCTTGTCTTTCCGTTAAAGGAGTAAAAAAAATGTCTACAACACACACATAAACATACACATTTGTTTAAGACACCTGTGTTTAGAAGCATGTCGATGGAGGTGGAGGAGGGAGGAGCCTGGGCATGGCGCTGACCGTGGGATCGAGGTGAGATCTCACGGAACCCAGCTCCTCCAGTGTCCCGCCAGCAGCACGGCGATCAAGGTCGGCAGAGAGGACTCACCTGCCGTGGCTCCGGATCTGCTTGGTCCGTCTCCCGCTGACCTCGGTGAAGGGGGGATGCGGTCGAGTGAGCAGATCCAGGGGAGTGAGAGAAGGCGGTGAGGTGTGTCAGAGAGAAAGAGAGAGAGAGACGGCTTAAGCCACACTGCCGCGGTCCTCTCTATCTCCCTCACCCCCCTAAAGTAAAAGTTATCCCCTGGGCGATCCCCAAAATTACAAGGAATGTGAGGACTATATACATATGCATCCTCCTTGTGGACAAAGATCTAGATGCCACACACCCCCCCCCCCCCTTTGAAGTGAAGGAAGAACAACGTAGGTGAGTGAAAGTGGCTGAAGATCACTTTTGAAATATCTGAAATGATTTTATTAGTGACTATGTGATGGAAGCAAATGTTTGATGGACTGGATCATGGGGGTTGCATTTAGGGGGTCATCAGGGAGACTAATGAGGGACTTGGACTCAAGTGTTTAAAGGTGATACAAGGGAGAGAAGTTTTTGAAAAGGTCCTGAGTTCCTGTGGGGAGAAAGAGGGAGAAGGAGGAGAGGAGGATATGGAGGTGGAGAGGAGGTGAAAGAGAGGAGAAGAAGGAAAAATATACAGTTGGAGAAGTGGATATCTGGATATTGAAGTATCTAAAATATCAGATATATATTAAAAATGAAAAACAAACAACAAAAGGAGGTGGGTCAAAGGCCCTGCAATCAAGTTCAATTAAAAAATACATTCCCGGGCAGGAAAAACGGACTCCTGAGAGGCAAAATGGAACAAATGAAAAGTGTTTGCTGGAAAACAGTATTGGAGAAAGTTCCAGATTGTCCTTGGGACTACCTAATATTAGCCAAAATTTGGAGGAAGCAGATACTCAGAAACAGGTCCGCAGGAGAACTTGGAAGAGCAGGACGCACATTTGCCAACTAAATCAGAAATTGCAGGAATGTTTAAAGGTTTGGAAAAATCTATAAAACAGGAAATGGCGAAGTTACAAAAAGAACTGGGGCAAGTATTATCTAGAGTAGAGGAGACGGAGGAAAAAATAGATAAACACGCCCAAGTGATTCAGTCCATAGGCAAACAAATGGTGGAAATGAAAAAAGAACACAGAAACCTGCTTTATAAATTTAAAGATCAGGAAAATAAGCGCAGAAGAAATAACCCAAGGATAAGAGGTCTCCTAGAGATCTCTCAAGGAGAAGACTTGAGGGAAATAACAGAGAAAATGTTAGATAGAATAATGCAAAGAACTGTAGCGGAACTATATAAGATAGATGGGGTGTATAGAATTGGGAGATTTCAACAAGACGGTAGAAAAGGTAACACGAGAGATGTGATAGTCCAACTTCATCATTACTGTGATAAAGAAGAGATCTGGAAGAGGATGAAAAGAAGAACAATTATAAAATATTGTGAATATACAGTAGTTTGCGGACCTTGCTGCAGAGACATTGTTAAGGAAAAGAACTTTGAAACCATTAGTAGAACAAATGAGGAAGCAGAACGTTCGATACAGCTGGGGGTCCCCAGCATGTTTAATCGGTTGGAGAAATGGGCGTTCTGCCAAATTAAGGTTTCCTGATGAACTGAGGGACTTTTGTGAGAGGCTAGAGTTGCAATATATAGATATTCCTGGATGGGGTGAGGAGGAGGAAGAAATTGGGAATATAGAAAGTGAGAGGTGGCAGGGGGTCTGGAAGAGAACTTGAAATCAGAGGGGGGTGTGGGGAGGAGAGGGTGCCAGGAGAGGTTTTTTTCTCCCTTGGGTGTTTTTTTTTTTTCTTTCCCCTCCCCGTGGCCCTCCTCTTCTCTACTCTTTTTCCCTAGGAAGAGGTTGTCTGCTTTTCTTTTCTTCTTTTCTTCTCTTTATGTTTGGAGAGAGGGTTTTTGTTTTCCCCTCTCTCCCCTCTTCTTTTAAATATTCCTCCTTTTGGTTAAACTGACGAGACGCTGGGGGGAGAGCAAATGGGTTGAGGTGGGCATGTTCAAGAGCTTCACCCTAAAGTGGAATCAAGGGTGGGACTTAGACCACAAATGATTCATAGACTAATTATTTGCCTAAAAAGGGAGGGGGGTTGGGAGGGAGTGTGGGAGGAGGGAGGGTGGATGGGCGGAGGATATGGGGGAAGGGAAGGTAGTTTTAGACCCCTCAAAATGGTAAGAAATATATCCATCTGGAAAAAACCTAGAAAAAGAAAGAGAAGATACGGGGAAGAGGGAGATGGGAGGAGAAGAAAGGAAGAATGGAAGAGATTAATTTTATGACCTATAATGCTAAAGGTTTAAATAGCTTCGGGAAGAAATTTAGGATTTTTAAGGAAATTCAGCACAGATTCTCTTCAGTGATTTTTTTTTTTTTTACAGGAGATACATCTAGAACAAGAAGCAAACATGAAACTAAATTCCAGATATTATCCAATATAGTACTATGCAGATTCCCCAATTAAATGAGCCAAAGGAGTGGCAATAGGTTTTGCGAAAAATATCAGGTTTATTTTGGAAGACAGTGTGGTAGACTTGGAAGGGAGATACTTGTTCCTGAAGGGGAAATTGCAGGATTGGGAGTGTACTCTAGCAAATATCTATTGCCCAAATAAAAAACCGGAGGAGTTCCTAAAGAATACACTGAGGAAACTAATGGATTTCAAGAAAGGTAGTTTAATTTTGGCGGGAGATTTTAATCTTTGTATGGTTCCTCATATAGATACGTCTCGTGTGCAGAGGGATGAGAATAGGTCTCTTAGATTGTTAAAGAAAATGTTATATCAATGTCAATTCGTGGATATATGGAGAATTAAGCATATGAAGGACAGAGACTATACATTTTATTCTCATGCACATGAGACATACTCAAGATTGGATTATATATTGTTGGACCATCGACTTGAGTCTCTGGTTCAAGTAAAAATTGAGGAGATATCAATATCGGATCATGCTCCGGTCACAATGAAATTACTATAGAAATGAGTTGAATAGGAGGAAATTGTGGAGGTTAAACGAGACACTCCTACAGGATTAAGAGACGGACCAAAAGATTAAAAAAGAGATAGAGCAATTTTTTAAGGAAAATTATTCTGAGGAGGTTTCTGTGGCAACGGTTTGGGAGACTCATAAAGCCTATATCAGAGGTATCCTGATAGTGATTGGAGAAAAAAAGAAGAGAGAAAGGAGAGAAAAAAAAAAAAAATAAGCTTCTGAAGGAGCTCTGGGAGTTAGAGCAGAAACATAACAATAGAGTAACAAAAGATTTTATGCAGAGGGTTATGAATAAAAGACAGGAATTAAATAATTTTCTGGAAGAAGATAAAAGAAGAGTGTTTAATAAAATGGTATGTGAGAGATATAGATGGGGAGATAGACCAGGAAAGTATTTAATGAGGGCTCAGAGGGAAAGAGAAATCCAGAAACTATATAGAGAAAATAAGGGACAACAAAAGGTGAATTAGTGTATTCAACTAAAGATATAGCTAAAGTGTTTAAAGAATATTATAATAAGCTATATAACATTATTCCCCATAGTAAAGAAGATGCAGGAAAAATAGAAAAAAGACGGATATATTTAATAGAAGCGGGATTACTGAAATTAGAAGAGGAAGAATTAAAATCTTTGGAATTAACAATAACGCAGGAAGAAATACACTTAAAAAGTGCTTTATCAGGGAAAAGTCTTGGACCTGATGGGTACACTGTAAGATATTATAAAAAATATAAGGAATTATTAGCACCCAAACTGAGGATATACATGAATGCATTGGGAGGTGAGATGGAAATGAGGAGGGAATCTTTACAAGCCTATGTAGTTCTTATACATAAGGAAGGTAAGGATGACACTCAATGTGCAAGCTATAGACTGATCTCCTTGTCGAACACAGATACCAAAACTATATGCAAAAGTTCTGGCAAATAGGTTAAAAGACTTGATGCCGGAATGGATACATATGGATCAGGTAGGATTCGTCCCAGGAAGAGAGGGTAGAGACAATGGATTAAGATCTTTGTTTCTCATACAAAAAAAAGTAGGAGAGAGAAAATCCCGGCAGTGGTCCTCTCGATAGATGCAGAAAAGGCATTTGATAGAGTGGACTGGGGTTATATTTTAGATACGCTGGAAATATTGGGGATGGGACCCAGAATAAGAGAATGGATAAGGAAATTATATAGTAAACCCTCTGCAGCAGTTATGGTTAATGGGGAATTGTCGGAGGACTTTGGAATGCGGAATAGAACTAGACAGCGTTGTCCTTTGTCTCCATTGTTGTACGTTCTATCTTTGGAATCTTTGTTGGCTACAATAAGGAATAACATAGAACAACATATCATCTGCATAAGTTTCCACCTGTCCTATCCTGATCCCTTTTATATCTATGTGGGAAACCCAAGGATAACATTACCAAACTTAATGAAATCATTGAAGGAATATGGAGAGATGTCAAACTTAAAAATTAATCCAACTAAAACGGAGATCTTAAATATTCAAATCTTTCAAAACAGAGAGAAAAATATATTACAGGAGGAATTTCCCTTTGTATGGAGAGAAAAAGAATCACAATATTTATGTATAAAATTAACTGTATCTTTAAAGAATTTATATAGATCAAATTATATCCCATTATTAAATGAGATTAAGGATGAACTACGAAAACTAGGTGGGGGAACTCAGTCATGGATAGGTCGTATAAATCTGATAAAAATGGTAATTGTTCCAAAAATTCTATATAGATTTCAAATGATACCAATTAAAATACCAGAAGCATATTTTAGAATAATTAAAAAAATGTTAAGATTTATTTGGAGGAAAAAAAAACCTAGAATAAGCTACAAAATCTTAATTAGGAATAAAGAGAAAGGAGGACTGGGAGTTCCAGACTTAAAAAGGTACTATAACTCGGTAATACTGATAAGAATTTTTGCTTGGACACATAATTCACACGGGAAAAGTTGGGTAAAAATAGAAAACACACTAAGTAACACAAACCTTAGTAGAATTGTATGGTTACCCTCCAATTCCAAGGATTAGCAGAGAGCACAAGTTTTTTCAGACGGAATGTGTTAAGAGTATGGGATGTTTTACATAAACAAAAAGGGTGGGAATATAATTCACTTTTAATGCCTTTATGGTCAACAGATTATTTTCCTCCGGGTAAAGAAAGTGTTGCTGGGAAGTGGATAAAGATGGAAGATGTACAGTTGAGAGATGTAATGGTGGGGGAGGAAGTAGGTTCACTTAAGGATTTGGAAAAAAAGATGGAAATATTTACGAGAATTGATAAGTGGCGTTATTTTCAGTTGAAACACTTTATAGGGAAGCTTCCAAGGCCATTGAGAACAAGAGAGGATTGGAACCCTTTTGAACACTTGTTAGACACAAGGGGAGATGGAAAACACGGTACATAAGAAATATATAAGATTCTCACTAGAATAATCACAGATACAAGTCCACCATTTATAGAGAAGTGGGAAAAGGATATAGGATTAACGATAGATTTAGAAAAGCAAAAGAAAATATATAGTTTAATACACGAAAATGTAAATATGAAGGAGGTAGAGATGAATTATACATTTTTGGCAAGATGGTATATCACACAGAGTGTAGCACACAGATTGAATGGAGATAACTCACCTTTATGTTGGAGGGGATGTGGGAATAGAGGTACAATGTATCACATTTGGTGGGAGTGTCCAAAAATTCAAGAGTATTGGGGGCAAAATAGTAGATATGATTCAGAAAATAACGGAGGTTGATATTTTAAAAGACCCAGAGACTTGCCTATTCCATGGTACTAAGCTATCGGTTAAGAAATATAAAAAATATGGTTTATTGTATTATTTTAATGCAGTGAAGGGATTGATTCCCAAGTTTTGGAAGAAACAGGAAGTACCAAAAATAAAGGATTGGATAAATAGGATGGACCAGATATATGGATTAGAAGAACTTTACCATTTGAGTGAAGATAAGATGGAGAGTGTTTTCGTGCCAAGTGGAAAAGGTTGGAGAATTTTAAGGAGTCAGAATTAATCCTAGAGTATATGGGAAGGTAATAGAGAAATAATGTGGATATGTTTCTGAAGTGGGATCTCCAGAGGGAGTGGGAAAGAGGCAGAGTGGAGGTCTTGGGGGGATAGAGGGAGGGAGGGGGGGGGGTAAGTGGGTGGGTTGGTTGGTGCTGGGTGGGGGGAGGGAAAAATGTTTAGGATTTTTTTGGTTAAATAATCATATATTATGACAATCAAATCTATGGTAGTTTCATGTGTTTAGTTGTGTATGGTTTGTTTGTATAAATTTGAAAATTTTATAAAATATTTAAATAAAAAAAAAAAGAAGCATGTCGATGGAAAAAAAAGAGGCAGCAATAAGTGTATGACTTCCAATGTCTAAGGTTATTTTCCGTAGGCTGTGCTGTCTTTCTTATTAAATTCCTGATAAAAAGGAAAGCAAATAAAATAATGGATATGTCTTTTATGTGGGGACATTTTACATAGACTACAGCAATATAGTTTTACATTCACTCAAAGCATCAGGCTGTTGACAGTGTTTTGTGCATTATACTAACTGCAAGAGAATATACAACTATGCATACTTACAGAAAAAGAAGCATCTGAATCAATCTGATATTTGGCCGCAATTCCAAAGCGGGTGTTGCTGTTTCCTGCTGTCCAAGCTAGGTTTATTGCAGTCTCCAGCTTATCGTTCACTTTCTGGTATACTGAGCCACCAAATTCTGTCCCGTCATTTCTGTTGGTGGCATGTCATACATCAGTAAAGCATAAAAACAGCAATACACTCTGTTTTACAGGCAGAAAAACTGGATTTTTGCATTCACCATAAAATCTTTTTATTAGAGTTTATTGGGAGACACATGATTCAAAGACAAATGGGTTGTAATGCTGCCTACAGGAGGATTTGGACACTGGTGAACAAAAAAAGGTGAGCAACCTGGTAACACCCCTCCCATTCCAAGCATGCCTCAATTTTGTAACAAACAGTACTGAGAGCAAGACCATAAACATAGAAAAGTATGGGGATTCAATAAATTCCAAGTAAAGGATATTATGGCAAGTACAAAAATCCAGTTTTCTTCTTCCTTCATTGAGGGGCACAGAATTCAAAAAACAATTGGGATGTCCAAAAGCAGTCCAACTGAGGGGTGGGCAATACAGCAAACAAAACACTAAACAGACTAAGTAACAAGAAATTGGGAACTGCCTGCAGCTCAAAATGCTGCCGGAAGCACCTTAAGACAGAAGCCAGCTTCAGATGAGGCCTGAATATGAACCTACGTAAACTTAAAGAATGTGATAAGAGGACCAGGTGGTGGCCTTCTAAATATGGGAAACATTTACTTGATGCCCAAGAAAAACTCTCTAGTTAGTAGTGTGTGCTTTGACCGGTAAGGATTTAACCAGTGCCGTGGCAAGGCTATCTAGCGCCCAGGGCGAAGATACCAAACTTTACCCCCCCCCCCCATGAAATATGAGCATTATGTGTCAGTAAAATCCCCCCCCCCCCAAAAAAAAAAACCAAGCACTACTCTGCACACTGAATCCCTAAACATAAATTCCCTTTGAAAGCCAAAATTCTCCCTAAATTAAAACTCTCCCACCTGCCTCCCACACATATCCCCCCCCCCAAAAAAATTGCCCTTCCTAACACAAAGCCCCTCCTTCCCGAGGTCATTGATGGAATTCCTAGAAATAGAGGTTGAGGTAACAGGGAAGCCTTTTAAACTTGTTGCCCATGGGAATATATTTTGCAGTGTGTTCACATACAGTCTTTTTGAAGAATTCCCATTTCTGTGTTGTGTTTATTAATGCCAATATTCCCTCCCAGTCTAAGTCTTGGAGAGCAGCTCTCAGATTCAGCTCTCTTGAAATTGAGCGTTTTTATTTTTCCCGTATGTGCTTGCTGTTTACAGCTAACAATAAATGAAATCATGTTAAGGTCACTGCTACCCAGATGTTCTTTTATATGGACATTAGTAATAAGCTCTGCATGGTTTGAGATTACCAGGTCCAGCAGAGCATCATTCCTAGTAGGGGCCTCTATGAACTGTACCATAAAATTGTCCTGTAGTAGGTTTAAAAAATGTTGCCCTTTAACTGTTCCTGCAGTACAATTACTCCAGTCAATTTCCAGGTAGTTAAAATCCCCATTATTATCACTGTCCCAGCCCTTTCGATCTATGCAAGTAGCTGAGTTTCCACCTCCTCATTAACACTGGGAGGCTGATAAACTCCAATGATTACCTTTGTAGTATGCACCCCCATGTGCAGTTCCACCCATAATACTTCAGCCTCATCACGCTCTCCATCAACTAGGTCCTCTTTCACACTCGCTCTGAGATCACTTCTCACATAGAGACAATTAAATTACATCTTCCATGAGTGATGGTAGACCTTGTGAAAAGTGGACATCCTACCTTTTAACACTGTAGGAATCACTGATGCAGATTGGCCCCATCCCTTAAGACCTGGTTTCAACAGTCCTGCTGTTAAACCCAGCACCGATGGAGCAAAATAGTATACTTGTCCTTGGAATCGAAGATCCTGTCAATATGGAAGAGCCTATGGAGTACAGTCAGGTCCATAAATATTGGAACATCGACACAATTCTAACATTTTTGGCTCTATACACCACCACAATGGATTTGCAATAAAACGAACAAGATGTGCTTTAACTGCAGACTGTCAGCTTTAATTTGAGGGTATTTACATCCAAATCAGGTGAACGGTGTAGGAATTACAACAGTTTGCATATGTGCCTCCCACTTGTTAAGGGACCAAAAGTAATGGGACAGAATAATCATCATAAATCAAACTTTCACTTTTTAATACTTGGTTGCAAATCCTTTGCAGTCAATTACAGCCTGAAGTCTGGAACGCATAGACATCACCAGACGCTGGGTCTCATCCCTGGTGATGCTCTGCCAGGCCTCTACTGCAACTGTCTTCAGTTCCTGCTTGTTCTTGGGGCATTTTCCCTTCAGTTTTGTCTTCAGCAAGTGAAATGCATGTTCAATCAGATTCAGGTCAGGTAATTGACTTGGCCATTGCATAACATTCCACTTCTTTCCCTTAAAAAACTCTTTGGTTGCTTTTGCAGTATGCTTTGGGTCATTGTCCATCTGCACTGTGAAGCGGCGTCCAATGAATTCTGAAGCATTTGGCTGAATATGAGCAGATAATATTGCCCGAAACACTTCAGAATTCATTCTGCTACTTTTGTCAGCAGTCACATCATCAATGAAATACAAGAGAACCAGTTCCATTGGCAGCCATACATGAACACACCATGACACTACCACCACCATGCTTCACTGATGAGGTGGTATGCTTAGGATCATGAGTGGTTCCTTTCCTTCTCCATACTCTTCTCTTCCCATCACTCTGGTACAAGTTGATCTTGGTCTCATCTGTCCATAGGATGTTGTTCCAGAACTGTGAAGGCTTTTTTAGATGTCGTTTGGCAAACTCTAATCTGGCCTTCCTGGTTTTGAGGCTCACCAATGGTTTACATCTTGTGGTGAACCCTCTGTATTCACTCTGGTGAAGTCTTCTCTTGATTGTTGACTTTGACACACATACACCTACCTCCTGGAGAGTGTTCTTGATCTGGCCAACTGTTGTGAAGGGTGTTTTCTTCACCAGGGAAAGAATTCTTCGGTCATCCACCACAGTTGTTTTCCATGGTCTTCTGGGTCTTTTGGTGTTGCTGAGCTCACCAATGCGTTCCTTCTTTTTAAGAATGTTCCAATCAGTTGTTTTGGCCACGCCTAATGTTTTTGCTATCTTTCTGATGGGTTTGTTTTGTTTTTTCAGCCTAATGATGGCTTGCTTCACTGATAGTGACAGCTCTTTGGATCTCATCTTGAGAGCTGACAGCAACAGATTCCAAATGCAAATAGCACACTGAAATGAACCTTTTATCTGCTCATTGTATTTGGGTTAATGAGGGAATAACACACACCTGGCCATGGAACAGCTGAGAGAAGCCAATTGTCCCATTACTTTTGGTCCCTTAACAAGTGGGAGGCACATATGCAAACTGTTGTAATTCCTACACCGTTCACCTGATTTGGATGTAAATACCCTCAAATTAAAGCGGACGGTCTGCAGTTAAAGCACATCTTGTTCGTTTTATTTCAAATCCATTGTGGTGGTTTATAGAGCCAAAAATGTTAGAATTGTGTCGATGTCCCAATATTTATGGACCTGACTGTATCTGCTAGGAATCGGATTAGGTTGGAGCACCACATCTGCCTTCACCAGTCCAGAGCTATGAGTAGCACCGGAATGCCCTCCATCTTGTTCATGTGGAGAAGAAAAGAAAAGACCTTTGGGGGAGGAAGAGAGTTGATCAGGATGTACTGATACCAGGGAGTCACTAGAGAGTCCACTGCTTTCATTATAGGATTTCTGCTCCTGGAGATAAGCCTATTAAACTTGTTATTGAACTGGTAGTAGAGAAGGTTCACATCCAGCATCCCTCATCGATGACACAGATCCTGGAACAAGCTTCCCATGACAGAATTATTTCTCCTTCTTTAGCCCTGAACCATAAATGTTAATCAGGGGATGGCATCCCTCTGGTGTCCATGTCCCCTGTATTTTCCAAGTCCTCCAGAACTCCACCACAGCCTGCCAGGCTGACCTTCATTGTGAAGATCTACCCAGAGGTTGGAAAAAAGGATTTCCCTTACTCCAGAGTTGGACTGCTTAGCTACCAACTGTGTAAATGGAACTGCCTTTAAAAAGGCCATTATCGGCACAATGTCCCTCATGCAGAAATGAAGAGTTGGTCAACTCTTGGATTGTCTGAGTCTGAGAGAGGAGAGTTCAAAGCTTTTCCTACAAAAGAAAATCAATGACTTGAGCAGTGCCTACGAACAGACCTAGATACGCTAAGCAATGAATCAGCCTAAATGTAAACTTCTGAGGGTTTAGGATCCAACTGAACCTTTTCAATGTCTGAACTGTCCTTGCCACATTGCCAGTCAGGGCTTGTGTACACCATTCTCTCAACAAAAGATCAAATCTACCAAAAGTCTCCCTGATTGAGGGAGGCTATGACAGACCTGCTGGATTCCATGTAGAATTTTGGTTGGCATGATGACAATCAGGGCCTTAAGATGCAAGCTGGGACTGATGCCCCTTTTAGTATGGGAACTCTCTCTGAAAAGGTAAGAAATAAACTCCCTAAGACCTTTCTGGCCATAGGATCTTGAGAAATAACCCGTTGATCCAGATGACCTGCAAAGGCAGCATGGAGGTCTGCTAATCTGTGTGACACAAGAAGGTCAAAGGACAATGGCCAGGGGAAGGAGCAGAGGCCCAAACTCTAGCTTATAGCCTGGAAACCACCTCCTATATGCAGACATCCAGGATGTTGTGTAGCCAAGTGTCTGCAAAGGCTTAAATCCCCCACTATGGAATGTGGGGACATCCCTTCATGTCAAAGAGGAAGTCTGCTGGTTTGTGGGATTTAAAGGCTTGGGGTTTGCAGCTGAACTGGGTTTCTGGCTTGGGTCTAGCTTTAGAGGTTGAAGGCTGGAGTAATAAATGGGGGAGGGTAGAGGGGTTTAGTCTTTTTAAGCTTGAAGTCTAGACATAAGAACTTCCTAGGTGAGAACTCTCCTTCTCAGTAACATTCTTGATAAAGATGTCTAAGGTTGCTCTAAATAACTGCTGGCACTCAAGGGGCATGTGCAGCAAATCTGCTCTGCAGCCCAGCCCAAC